AAAGTGGTGCCCCCAAACCTGATTCTTCCAACTATTTTGGTCTTTAATAGAACATATTTATAAAGACTAACAATAAAATTAAAATATTATTATTTATTTCTCAGCTTTGAATCTATTTCTCAGCTTTGAATCTGGATATTTATTCCTTCCAGTTTATTAGAGGGCTGACTATAAAAAATACCCTATACTTATACGTGTTTAGAATAGCAAATGCTATCAAGATGCTACTTTTAATTGGGCACAAACAGAAAATATAGTTGATCACTGACTTTTTACTTAGGAATTAATATTTAGGAAGAACTAGGTTTTGGGTGAGTATTATGTGCCAGTCACCTCGCTAAAGAGACTGATACACATGATCTCATTTGGTCCTACATAGTAGGTATTATTATCAGCATACCTATTTCAGCAGAGATTTGATTTTGTACCGTGTTCTGCCAGTAAATGGAATGATTATTGGAATCCAGAGAACAGATCCTTATCACCACTGTTGCTTAAAACAGCTGTCTTTATGTATAATATTAGATCTTACGATAATTTAAAATCTCCAGAAAATTAAAGTTATAATGAAAACTTCGTAACAGTGACTGGATTTCCCTTTCAGCCCTTTCTTTAATATGCCAAAAATAATTTTAGACCCTGAGCTTTCCTAAACCTTTAATCATTTATGGTGTTCTCTGCTGTACCTACCCATTATAACAATTTAAAAAAAAATTAACACTAGGCCAATTATTTTCAAAAGCCCAGAGATACTAATCAAGTGATCCTAATAATCTTAAACACTATTCTCAAACTAAAAAAGATAAATGGAGATTGAGAAACTTGTATTCTAAAGTGCTACCATCCAGATAAAATTACCCTGTGAATTAGAGTAATTTCAATCAGATCTTGTAAAATTGAACATTTTTCTCAAGACTAGAATTAAAGTAACTATAAGACAGTTTAGGGGTCCAAACTCTGAAACATAAAATGCTTTTCTACATGCAAACTCAACAGCAGCAGGCATTAAGGGGTAAGGTGAACAGCAACAGTTTAGAAAAGTAGTAACAAATAAAATTACAAAATACCGACCTATTTGTCTCAAGGCTATTCTATGTGAATATAATAGACCATAATTACTCTTGGAAAACATGCGACTGAGCTGGGAAGGTGGCTCAGTGGTAGAGTGCGTCCCTTGCATGCATGAGGCCCTGGGTTCGATTCCTCAGCACCACATAAGCAGAAAAAAAAAGCCGGAAGTGGCGCTGTGGCTCAAGTGGTAGAGCCCTAGCCTTGAGGGGAAGAGCTGAGGGACAGCACCCAGGCCCAGAGTTCAGGCCCCACGACCTGACCCCCCCCCAAAAATAAGAAAAGAAAACATGCTACTCACTGGGCACTGGTGGCTCATGCCTGTAATCTTAGCTACTCAGGAGGCTGAGATCTGAGGATCACAATTCAAAACCAGCCCAGGCAGGAAAGCCTGTGAGACTCTTATCTCCAATAAACCACTAGAAAACCAGACGTGGCGTTGTAGCTCAAGTGGTAGAGCCTTGGCCTTGAGCTGAAGAGCTGAGGGTTAGCGCCCAAGCCCAGAGTTCAAGCACCATGACCGACAAAAAAGAAAGTAAAGAAAACATGCTACTTCAATAAGACCTAATGTCTTATTATACAGTATCCTGAGTTTAGGAATTTTTGTTGTTGTCATAGTTTTTGTGCTTGAACTGGGGATGTAAACTCAGGGCCTGGCATTTTCTCTTAGCTTTTTTGCTTCAAGCTGGCACTCTTTTAACAATTGAATCACAGCTCCACTTCCAGCTTTTTGGTGGTTAACTGGAAATAATCTCATGGATTTTCCTGCCTGGGCTGGCTTCAAACCCAGATCCTCATATCTCAGTCTCCTAGGTAGCTAAGATTACAGGCATCCAATCCTAGATAGGCATGTAATCAAGATACTAGGATGTCTTGAGTTTTAAGTTAACGTACAGAGAATCTCCAACAGCATTTTATAAGAATTAAAAACTCAATAATGCTTTATTACTGGATTCCTGCATTTATGACTATAATCATTAACATACAACAAACTGGTTAATAATGTAAAATCTAGGGCTGGGAATGTGGCTTAGTGGTAGAGTGCTTGGCTTGCCTAACATGCATGAAGTCCTGGGTTTGATTCCTCAGGACCACATAAATAGAAAAAAATGGAAGTGGTGCTGTGGCTCAAGTGGTAGAATACTAGTCTTCAGCAAAAGAAGCTCAGGGACTGGCAAAAAATAAAACAAAATAAAAATAAAAACCAGAGGTTTTTTTGTTTAATTTTTTTATTTCCTAATTCACTAATCACTTTTAAAAAGGATTATTTTCTGTATCATGCAAATGACCACATCTAAACTTATATTCTAATGTACTACCAACTATTTGGTAATAAGGTATCAGGTATGTATTTTTAAGTTATCACACTAGAATACATCTAATAGTGAATTCAGGAAGTAGGCACAAAGTTATAAGGGGAGGAAGTGTAGGCAGGAGATTCCAATTCAATTGTGTGAAAGGAAGTACTAGCTATGAATTTTTAGAAACAGGAATACCAAGTTTTATGTGGGTCCAAGACAAAAAAGGAAAATGTGCTGGTGAATAAGGGCAAGAGGAAATTCTTTTAGTGAACCATCTACCAGATATTAAAAACAATTCAAAATCATTCCAAAAGCTAAAACATAACTAGCCCTTAACTTTTTGACTAGGCCTATGTGAGAACGTCCTTCTTTTTTTGAGGGGGGGGAGTCCGATTGTGGGCCTGAACTCTGGGCCTGGGCGCTGTCCCCCAGCTCTTCAGCTCAAGGCTAGCGCTCTACCACTTGAGCCACAGCGCCACTTCTGGCTTTTTTTCTGCTTATGTGGTGCTGAGGAATCGAACCCAGGGCCTCATGCATGCAAGGCAAGCGCTCTACCACTGAGCCACCTTCCTAGCCCTGAGAATGTACTTCTTTAGGTGTACTGATGTCTGAATTTTGCAGTTTATCTAAAAGATGACAAGCTTATGAATAAGGTTTAACACATTCCCGAGGGAGGCAAGGGTGGCTTGTAACATTAAACTATTACATTTCCTATCTTAAAGTTTGATGATTAACTTTCTTTTCCAGCAGCACTATACAAGACTATTTTTTAAAAGTGTGTGAGTTTTACAATGTTTAACTAATAAACCATATATTTAAAAATGGTTTATAGCCAAGCTCTGGTGGCTCCCACCTGTAATCCTAGCTAGTCAGGAGGCTGAGATCTGAGGATCCTAAAGCCTATCCTAGCATAAGTATATGCAACTCATTTCCAATTAACCAATAGCTGTAAGTAAAGGTATGGCTGAAGTGGTAGAGCACCAGCTTTGAGTGAAAAGCTAAGGGACAGTGGTCAGGCCTTGATTTCAAGCCCCACTACAAGCGTACGTGCACGCACACAGGCACACACACATGCAGGTCAGGAGATATTTGTTGTTCAGTAATAGAACACCAGCTCAGCAACCAAGAGGCCCAAGTTCAAATCCCAGTGCTACCAAAACTAAAAAGTTAAGATGTGACATTCTGTGCCTTGTGATACACACACAAAAGAACATGTCCTACTTAAATGTTAAACAGTAACTTTTTTTTTTTTCTTTTTGGGTCCGTTTGTGGGGCCTGAACTCTGGGCCTGGGCGCTGTCCCTCAGCTCTTCAACTCAAGGCTAGCGCTCTACCACTTGAGCCACAGTGCCACTTCCGGCTTTCTTCTTTTTGCTTATGTGGTGCTGAGGAATTGAACCCAGGACCTCAGGCATGTAAGGCAAGCGCTCTACCACTGAGCCACCGTCCCAGCCCAACAGTAATTTCTTATGCAAATTTTTGTTACTCTTAATGCCAAAATCATCTTGTAATTTTTTTTTGTATGTGTGCCAGCCCCGAGGCTTGAACTTAGGGCCTGAGAACTGTCTCTGAGAGTTCTTGTTCAAAGCTAGCATCTTAACACTCAAGCCACAGCTCCACTTCTGGCTTTTTGGTGGTTAAATGGAAATAAGTGATTTTCCTTTCCTAGGCTGACTTCGATCCATGACTCTAGATCTCAGCCTGTAATCTCAGGATTACAGATGTGAGCCACCAGCGCCCAGATAATGTAATTAATTTTTAAACATACATCTATACAAGGGCAAGGTCTTTAATCCTGCACTACAGAGTGAAAATGAGGCGCTATTTTCAATTAGCATCTTTCAAACGATCTAAATTACTTATTGCCAACAAATACTAGTTATGAAAATGTAAGTGTATGTTTCTACTTCAGCTGATTCCTTCATTCAGTAAAGTGCAAATCTCGAAATTAGAAGAGCAAGATCTCTAACTAAGTGAATAGGCTTTTCTTCAAATCGTTGTAGTTCTGAAACAGGAGCTTCGAGACGTTCCCCACACCTAGGCCGCCTTCAGCAGGATGACGGCCAAGAATGCTAAGGTCAACTATTTCTAATTCTAGGTCACACACGGCTCAACCCTCTCAAAAAAAAAAACGTGTTAGGCTTCTGTGAACTCTTATCAAGTTCTGCACAACCTACGATAGTTTGGTAGGTTGAGAAAGGCCTGGAACAATCGGCTTGGCTTGGCCACCTCTGAGAAGTCTCCAGGAAAAGAAAATTGGGAAGGTTTCAACTCTGTGCAAACCCGTTCTCTTCTCAAGTCAGTCACACCCAACTCCCTGTCCAGTGAAGGGCTGTGTTCTAGAAAGATCTACACCTTCCCAACTGAAATGTCATCCCCTGAGGAGCTGCTGGAAGGGCCAGAGGCGCACAACACACGCCCCTCTTCTTCGAGTACCTTCCCCAATGCCAGCACGGGACTCCCTCGGCTGTCCCCAGACAAACCCTACACGGAGGGGCCTCTAGCTCAGGCCCCCCGCAGGGGGTCCTGGCCTGGGTGGCTTTGGCCACCAGAGGGGACCCGCGCCAGGGTAGGTCCGGGGGGAAGGGAGGCGGCGCGAGGGGTCCCTCCGGAGCGGGAATGGGCGTCTCACCTTGACCCTGATCTCGTAGGTGGTGAAGCGGCCCCGGCCGACCCCCACAGTCTGCGGGTTGCTCACGTCGATCTCGAGGAAGTTGCTGGGCGGCCCGTAGGCGTCATTCAGGTTCTGTGGTTTGGTGATCAGCCGCCTGGTGTCTGCCACCGTCTCCGCCATTTCGCTGCAGCCGCCGCCGCCGCCGCGGGCTCTCTGCCCCCAGCAAGTTCCACGGACGCCGCCGCTGCCGCCCACCGCGGGGACACGGGGTTCGCGCGCAGCGGTCGAGAGGCGAACGAGCACGTAGGACGGACGTTCAGTCAGCGAGCGAAGCTCCGCCCCACACGCTCTTCGGGGCTTCCGCCTCGCTGTCCTGAGCAGAAACCGCTGACTCGCCGGAACGCCACGCCCGGGCTGGGGAGGCCCTGCGGAGGCTGGGAAGGGGCGCTGCGGGGTCCGGGCTGAGGAGAAGCGGTGTCACGGGACTTATGGTCATGAACGGGTTCCCATAGGACTACAGCACCCACAATACACCGCAGCGCGCCGCCGTCGGGCGACGGCCGAGGCGCAGAAGCGCCCGACGTCCGGGGGCGGGGCTTCCTGTCTCTCTGTGACTGCGTCTGAGGAGTCCCGGAAACGGCCTTCTGGCCGGAGGGGTGTGGTGGGTGGGGCCTGCGGACTTGAAGTGCAAAAGCCTGGGCTCTCCTCAGATGGAGACGTTCGGCGTCTACTATAAACCATCTCATCTCTCCACAGTCCTACGGTGAACCACTGGAAATGCCTTTAGTATAGAAAGTAGCTTTTCGTAAAAAGTCTTAAGTGATGATCTTTGGCACAGGCTTAGTTTCGTCAGACACACTTACATGGTGAAAGGGAAGTGGGAGGTTCAAACCCTGGCTGGAGCATCAACTAGGTTCAATCGTTTCTCCAGGCACATCTATGCGCTGAGAATGAGCCTGTAAGCTGCTTTGAGAACCGTATGTCTGCGTGACCTGTCTGTTTTTTCCCTCAAAGTTGTGAGCAATTTTTCTTAAGTAGTAAATGTGCCAACACAGCACTTGAAATGCAACTTAGAGGAACTGGCGAGGGACTGAGGAGGGGGAAGAAGGGGAGGCGAGGGAGAACGTGCCTATACATCTAGATCCTTGGAGGCTGAGTCAGGATAATGTCAAATTCCAATTCAGTGTGAGCAAATTAGCTGGACGTTTGTTTAAAAAAAAAAAAAACCCCGCAAGGAAGAAATGAGGAATAACTAAACTATATCCTAGATAATCTCAAAGAGTACAATTAACTGCAAACGTTGAACGTTTCTCTGAATAGTTATTTTCCTTGATGTTATGGTCTCACATGATTTCTGCATTTTTATTATGTTAAGTTTTATTAAGCCTATTTAATTATAATTTGATCTGTCCCTTAAACTGAAAGTTTACAGATCAATATCAACAGCTTCCCCTCCCACCCCCCACCCCCGCTTGGCTTTTTTGCTCAAGCTGGCTCTCTACCTACCACTTGAGCCACTCCTTCAGTTCTAACTTCTTTCTCTCTCTCTCTCTCTTTCTCTTTCTTCCTTTCTTTCTTTCTTTCTTTTTCTTTCAGTTTTTTGCTAGTCCTGGGACTTGAACTCAGGGCCTGGGCACTGTTCCTGACCTCAGGGACAAGCCTGAGAACAGAAAAAAAAACAAAAAAGAGTTACTTTGTAATAGAAAGGATGAGTCCTCTAATCAGGATACATTGAACTTATTTTATTCCTGCTTCAGCTCCTCCATACTGGAGCTACACAGTACTCATGCCCAGCCAAGTTTGCCAATTTAAACTAAATGTTTACATGATTCTAAAGTCAAAATGGGGCCAAGAGTTACGGTATCTATAATCCCAAAGAATATCACAGCTAGATGGATGCTGGTGGTTCATGCCTGTAATTCTAGTTACTCAGCCTGAAGGTCACAATTTGAAAGTCTATGAGACACTTACCTCCAACTTACCACCAAAAAATCCTGGCTTAAGAGGTAGAGCCAAAAAAAAAAGAGGTAGAGCCATAGTCCTTAACAAAAACAAAATAGCTCCAGGGGCAGCACAAAAAATAAAAAAAAACAAATAGCTGTCCAGGGCCAGCACAGAAAGAGAGAAAGAGACAGAGACAGAGAGGAAGGGAGAAGTTTTCCATGACAATCAGACAAAAAATAAAAAAGATTTTATCTCAACAAGCAAGCTCTGTGGTGGTTCACACCTGAGGTAAGAAGCATCTCAGTCTTAGGCCAGCCCTAGAAAAAGTATGAGGACTCATTTACAAACTGAAGTAACAAAGCCGGGCGCTGGTGGCTCACGCCTGTAATCCTAGCTACTCAGGAGGCTGAGATCTGAGGATCGCGGTTCAAAGCCAGCCCGGGCAGGAGAGACCGTGAGACTCCTATCTCCAATAAACCACCAGAAAAACCGGAAGTGGCGCTGTAGCTCAAGTGGTAGAGCGCTCGCCTTGAGCTGAAGAGCTGAGGGACAGCGCCCAGGCCCAGAGTTCAAGCCCCACGACCGACAAAAAAAAAAAAAAAAACTGAAGTAACAAGAGATGGGAGTGTGGCTCAAGCTGAAGAACACTTGCCTATCAAGCATGAATTCCTGAGTTCAAACCCCAGGACTATCAAAACAAAAGGAAAAGAAAGAAATGAAGGAAGAAAAGAAAGAATGAAAAGAGAAGAAAGAAAAATTAAGGATATTCATTGAAAAATCTGCTTCTAATATTCAGCCATCTTCTAGTGCCTTTTCTTTGTATCCTTCCATAAACATTCTAGGATATACAGCATTAGCTGTAAATAGTGTAGGACACTATGATTGTGTACACCTGTAATCCCAGTATTTAGGAAGCTAAGGCAGGAGTAACATGAGTTTGAGGCCAGCCAGGGATACAGGGCAATTTCCAGGCCATGCAGCTTTCAAACAGGAACCGCTCTAAAAACCAATCAACCAACCAGACAAAACAAAATGAGTCAAGTGCTGGTTGCTGATACATGGAATCCTATCTTCTAGGAGGCTGAGATCTGAGGATTGTAGTTTAAAGCCAGCCCAGCCAAGAAAGTCCATGAGACTCTTACCTCCAATTAAAAAGCTGTGGCTCAAGGGGTAGAGGTTAGCTTTGAAAGGAAAATGTAACCTAGGCAGAAAGTAACCCAAAAGACCACATAGACATAAGTCAAGTACAAGAAAAGATGTATTATTGGGCTGGGAAGGTGGCTCAGTGGTAGAGTGCTTGCCTTGTATGCATGAGGCTCTTGGTTCGATTCCTCAGCACCACATAAGAAAAAAGAAAAAAGCCAGAAGTGGCGCTGTGGCTCAAGTGGTAGAGCGCTAGCCTTGAGCTGAAGAGCTGAGGGACAGCGCCCAGGCCCAGAGTTCAGGCCCCATGACCAGACGAAAAAAAGATGTATTGCGAGCAGAGCTAACAAGGCCAAGTTCTCATGAGGAAAGTGAGAAAATGGCACCATCTGGCTCCTTGGAGGCCCCTTTTATTTTATTTTTAAAAATTTTTTCCAGAGTTCAAGCCCCATGACTGACAAAAAAATTTTTTTTCTGCCTTCGTTACATTTTCCTTTTAAGCTTTGAGCAAAAAAAGATCAAGAACAGTGCTCAGGCCCTAAGTTCAAGCCCCAGGACTGGCAAAATCATTCATTCATTGATAAAATGCACCATAGTTAATTTGTTCCCTGACAAATATATGTTGTGATTTCAGTCTTTTACTATTACAACACTACAGTGAATAACCTTGAGTATGCCAGTCATTACATATTAATAGGATAAATTGTGTTTCTGTGTGTATGTGTGTGTGTATGTGTGTGTGTGTGTGTGTGGTCCTGGGACTTGAATCAGAGCCTGGGTGCTGTTCCTGAGCTGCTTTTCTGAACGTTACAGCTCTACTACTTGAGCCACAGCCCCACTTCCAATATTTTTTGGTGGTTAATTGGAAATAAGAGTCTGTCCAGGCTGGCTTTGAACCATGATGCTCAAACCTCAGCCTCCTGAGTAGCTAGGATTACGGGCATGAGATACCAGAACCTACTTAGGATAAATTCTTATAAATTGAATTACTGGGTCTGACAATGTGTTTATAATTTTGTGAAACACTGCAAAATTTTGTCTGTGCAGGTTTTATTGATTTACGCTGTACAGCAATGTATACAAGTACCAGTGTGTCTACAGCTTTACCACACTTCGTTAGAAAATTTGGAATCTTTACTAATACGATAATGTCCTGTTTGAATTTTCCTTATTTTCAGTGCAACTCTACATCTTTTTATGTGTTTGTATATAATTCGTATTTCTTCTTTCTGTGCCATTTTTTTTCAAATCATTTTCTCCTGTTAAATTATTTATTTTGCTTAACAAGAAAAGTTTACTAAATATAAAAAGGTAAGTCTTGGCTGGGAATGTGGCTTAGTGGTAGAGTGCCTGCCTAGCATGCATGAAGCCCTGGGTCACACAGAAAAAGCCAGAAGTGGTGCTGTGGCTCAAGTGATAGAGAGCAAAAGAAGCTCAGGGACAGTGCCTAGGCTCTGCAAGCAAGGTCCAGGTCTGGAAAAAAATTAAAAAGGTAAGTCTTATATAAATGGCAATTCCCTCCATTTAAGTTTAACTTTGCTAACGATTATTTTTATCACTTTGTAATTTGTGTGTTTGAATTTATTTTTATAGCTTCTGAATTATTAAAATGGTAAGACTTTTATTCAAGAAAATTGCAATAGAGGTCATATATTTTGCAGAGAGAATGGGTTCAAACTCAATACACAAATGGGAATTTATATCTACGGAACAAAGGAAAAGGGGGCAGTGATGAAAATTACTAAGAAAAGACTTAAGATTCTTTCTAAAGGCAAGCCAAAGAGTTAGACAGCATGGGTGAAGAAATTGATCAGCTATCAAGGACAAGGAATTTCCAAAATAACTTAGGAAAATTCTTGCTGACTGACTTCAACAAAAATGGATATGGAAAACCAAGATAAAGACTCATAGGATGGTGGGGGGGGGGAGGCTGGGAAGGGATGTGAAGGGTAAACAAAGGAGGAGGCTGCAGTGCTTGATAAGAAATGTACTCATTATCTTGCCCATGTAATTGTAACCCCTCTGTACAGTATGTTCACAAAAAATTAAAAAAAGACTCATAGATTAATCCTTTTCTTAATGATGCCAAGCAAATATTATCCAAACCATCTCTTATTTTCAGTGTGCACACAGGTTTACCACAAAGATGGTGATTATTGTACCTAAAAC